TAGGTTTTCCAGGATCATGCCCACTGTCTCAGCCCACCAGACGAGGAGTTGGCGAGTGTTTGTGTCTGAGGCATTGCGGTCTGCGACTTTGGCGGCTTCCCCAGCAGCACCGGGGTCCTGCTCGGCAGGGCAGGGCGCCCCAGTCGCCTGACACTTGAGGCGCGAAAGAAGGNNGTCACAAAGACGCAGCAGATTGTACTGTAACGCTTTGTTCTCCTTGAGGTCCGGCTACAGGGTGGGTGAGGGCAGAAAAAGAACGTCATGATTCTATAACACTGGCAGCTCTGTCGCCATGTGTAGCAAGCGGTTCTGAATGTCCTTTAGCACGATTTTAGAGGTTTCAGTTCATTTGAAGGTAATAGGCAATGCGTTTGAAAACCCTATTGTTCACATGCCGGTGCGTCATATGCATTTTATACAGGCAAGCTTCAAGTGCTACTCACGAACAGTGAGTAGCATTGTTTTTACAAATAACTCTTATCCGGGTTAACTGAATCATAAGTCCTAGTTCAGTTTGTCTAGGGACAAAAACGAACACATATCCAAGCGGTTATCGAAGCGCTGTAGGCCCGTCGTCTCCACGGCTGATTCTGAAGATTATTCCATTGTCCGCTGCGTGAAGTGTTCACAGCGGAGATTTAGTTTAGACATTTTCATGGGCAGCTTCACTGCATGTCCACGAAGAGGAGTGCCACTGAAACATGTCCACAAAACGCAATCCTTGTTCAAGGCCATGCACTATCTTATCAACTAAGACAAAATCGCCTCTCTGTTGTTTGCAATACAAAGGAATAAATTCAGACATCCCGTATTTCGATATACGACTGGTTTTTTACACCTCTTACTAGCTTCTTCGCATGACGCTGCACTTTCTTGAAACATATTTGGCCTTTTGCGAGCTATGGCCGCCACGCCTAGATGCCATATTCTATGTGAGGTCGAACGAAGGTGCCGTGAACTTTACCAAAGAGATTTTCCTCGAAAGCTGCAAACGCCCTTATGATAGCATGCAATCCCCCCATGGCATTGTTTGCAGCCTTGACGCATTGTGAGGATGGCTTCAGATGGCTCTGTATCTAAAGGTCAAAGTCTTTATATGAAGAATCGGTGAAAATTTGATTGTCATTCAGATAATATGCCCTTATGTTGTCAGTTATAGGATAGTTCGTTGGATGCAGGTGGACGACGGCACACTTTTGCACATTAAAAACTAGGAGCCATCTTTTGGATCACGTTTGCAGTCTGCACAGACTATTTTGTAGTCTCCCGGTCGCTCGGGCCCTGTCGTCGGCAAACAGGATCATACCGCAGCCCAGTTCCGGAAGGCTGTTAATAGCACAAAGGACGGAGAGTAAAGGTGTAACTAGTTTAGCAACAGAATGCATCTTTCTTGTATAAAGGTCCAGATATTAGATGAAAGAACAGCAGAAGAAATCCGAATGCCGACCAAGTTAGCTGTAAATCTGCCAAGTATACAGTTCCACCACAAATCAGAAATGAGCAATAAGCTGAGTCGGTGGCATTAATTTATTGGCATTCCCTTTAGGTTGGCTAGAATGCCGACCAAGTCGTTTCAAGAGTAAAGTGCTAGAAAAGCTGAGCAACTTCTCACAGACACTGACCA